CTTCATTCGTTTTGTTCACTGCTTCTCCGTTTCGCTTTGTGGTGTGTCCCAAATAAACGTATTCATCACTTCGAGTAAGCCTTCTGATTTATAAACAGTCAGACGCTAATTAGTAACGATTGTCTAGACGAGCTAATTACCGAGCCTAAGAACACGCAGTAAATCGGCACACTACAATCCTATTACGGAGAAAAAAGACCAACAGACTGAATTCAATTGAATTTGATCGACACTTACGTTCAGCAATTATCTGAAAGAGTTTCTAAAGAAGATTGTTAAAAATAAAAGCAAAACTCAACTAGAGTATGCACAGATAGAATAGAAGAACACCAATGTCATCCTATACCGTTAAAAAAATCATCGAAAGAAATAAGGAGGATTCTAAAGAAATATAATATAAAAGTTTATTTTTGAGTCAGTGATACCATAAGATCGGCGTTAGTGAAAATCAAAATACAGTTCCACAGGAAGAACAACAGAACATTGTCTATAAGTTCGGTTATCAAAAATGCAATCCAGTTTTTGTGGATGAAACATCTAGACAGAGGTTGAAGGAACACAGCGTTCGGAACATGTCCCAAAAACCTCGGTCGATCTAGAAAAAATTAGAGAATAAGCCGGCCATAGCGTTACATGCGTTAGACAGAGGATACAAGATCAACTTTGATGGGGCCAGAATACTTCAGAAAAGGATGATACTCAACTAGCCACCCCAAGGCAAATGACCATTGAAAAGTAGTTGAATCTCATCGCTATCCACCTTGTTTAGTTCACGTATTAACATTTAATCGAACGGTAATTAATTAATTTTAATATTTTTATACATCCATCACAATTATGTGATAATTTTCGATCTATTCACACATTCAACTTTTAAAAAAACCTATTGACAGTTGTACTTTTATGTTTACATTTCATAAACAAGTGATTGAAATTTGTTCACCAACTATCAGCAACTAGTAATAATATAAATTTACACCAACATATGTATAAATTCATTTATTTTTCACAATCGATTTCCTACTCACTAAAATCAATATCTGAATATAATTAGATAAATATTTAGTGCAAACTTGATATGATTGTTAAATGTTTTCTTATGATGGGTTACCCTAAAGAAGTTTAGACAACAGAGCTAGATGAAATGTTGGAATTATCTAAAATGATTTCAAACACAAGTTTCACAAATAATATCTCTTATATACACTCGTTGTCCAATTTTTATCGTCTAACAATTCGTTCAAATATTGATGAATATTCTCAGAAAATATGAATGTTGTAGTGACTTTGGTTTTTTTTTTTCTGGACAATAGAATGAATTTATTTTTAGCACTTCAGATATAAGCAAATATTGAGGGTATTTTAAATTTCACAAGTTAATCAGTCATTTATTTTGGTATTAATGATTTTTTGTCTATTTATTTATTTGCATCATCTTGTTTTCGTTCACATAATCTTTTATTATTGTGTTTATTTTCTTTCACATCTTATTGTTAATGATCTATCTATACAGCATCTATCCAAACCAATTCATTCAAATCAATCATTAATGGATGCACGTAATTTAGCCACTGTGATTGCACCAAACTTAATGCGTTCATCAAATAGTAAAGATCCACGTGAATTATTACAAAATGTTCGACCGCAAACATTATTCATTCGTTTATTAATCAGTTATTTGGATATTGAAGTTGAATTGAAATATTTGAAAGAAGAAGAGGATTGTGATGAAGAAGAAGAAGAGCAAGAGACATGTAATGTGAATGTTGGCGATAGAGGTGAAGATTGTGAATTGAAAGAGAAATCTGTCACCGACTCAAATGTCGATGGTGTGGATGATGAAGTTAAATTGATTCGGTTTAATGATAATAGTAATAATAATAATATCGTATCATGTAATCAGGATAAATTGTCGTTATCATCCAACGGTTATGTGTATCTGTCGTCACCGGTACGAGTTCGACTCGGTCCAGACAATGGTTTCATACCTATTTGAAATGTGATTTGATTGTTTTATCTACATTTTTTGTTTTGATATGTATTCATCATGCGTACATGTACATATAAATAAATATACTCATATGCATATACATATATACGTATGTATGCGTCTATTTGTTTCTCCATGAAACGATGCAATCATTGATCTGATTAATACTTTCATATATACATATATATATATATCTGTATATTCAGTCTTTTGGTTTCATATACAGTCAGGTTATTAAATAAAATTATCAATTAAATTGTGTATTTTCTATCTGTTGATTATTTATTCACCAGCATTGGCCTTTTTTTTACATTTTATATAACTTATCTTTCTGTTCCCACTCTCTCTGTCTGAGAATATTCTCGCCTAATCCTGATAATAATCAATAATTTATTTACTGAATAGTAAAGTTTGTCTACATCAATATCCACAACTGTCTTTTTTTTCTTTAGTTGCTGTTATTGTTATCCTTCAAGTTGATGTGATGAATCCTTGTTGTTGTTTGTATCGTTGATTATTCATCAGAGAATAAATTGCATTTAACTAATAAATACACACAACAATGCATCACATGAACAGTACACAAAGAAACCATTTTAATGATGAGATAGATGAGTTTTTCTGTTATTTTATGGAGAAGAGAATAGTTTGGGAAAACTGTAATTACATTATATTTGACGAACAATTGAATTGAGTGCTTGTTGGAATATACAGAATACTGTTAGCCATAATAAAATATTAGTTTATTTACAGACGTGTACGCACTTATTGTCTTAAAAATATTCAAATAAATTTGCTTCTTTATTGTTTATTTATTTCAAGTAATTAACATAAACAACAAACTTTATCCTTCATCTTATATATTCATAATTGTACAATTGATCTCATATTATCTAAGACATTTTTATTGTAATCCACGGATTCATTGAACTATATACAGTTATAGTGATATTTCATATATGTTACAATGCTTTCTGTTTGTTTACAAAAATATAGACGGTTTAATGGAATGTTATTATTATCATTATTTATAATATGCATGTATTAAAAGGTTTACCTACCCAAATTACGAACAGTTTGAAAAATAAGCGAAAATATAAAAAAAAAACGGATTCTTTCAATTATCATATTAGATTATTATCGCCATTATTGTGGCTTCATTTTTTTATTGATACGGTCGAATTTCTGTAATGCTTCATTTGTGTGCACGTCTCATCTGTTCTGTGTATGTGTTTATTTACGGATTTTAAGTCTGTAATGAAATATTCGGATATATTTTACAATTCAATCGTTTAACTACTTACAATCATACAAGTAGACCAAAGTTGCATTCGATTTAAATCGAAACAGAAGTGTCATTTTGCTTACTGGAACCAAAAAATTCATTCTTATATACATATATATATATAAATATATATTTACTGTACAATAAACCAACGTAGTAAAACATTTCTTTTTGAATTGTAAATAATACCTTTTCACCTGACTTCTGGTTCATTTCAATTTTGGATGCCTGATTATCCGGCGTATATATATACATATATATATATATATATATATCGTTTACTAAAAGGTATTCTTTCGTCCACTACAATCATTTCATTTTCTTCTTTTTCTAGATTTATTTATCAGCTTTAACATTAAATTATTCAACTATAAAAGTTATTCAGAATTCTTCTTCACATTGAATTGTTTTTATGTTTCTTTCTTTACAATTCGTTTGTATACTCGTATCATTATCATCACTACTATGATTGCGTACACTTATTTGATCATTTGAATGCAATCTTTAAACGATTGTTATTACTACGTTGTTTTATGCTTTTCTATAATCTTCCTTTCTCTCTCTGTAATCATCTTTCATTCTTTATAGTTCGAATTCGTTTCTTTTTTTTTTGTGAAAGAAAATAGCAATTCTGTTGAAGTACTGAGTGTTTTTTATTTTTTTTTAACAATCTATCAGCGCACAAAATAGGTTCTCTTAAATTTATGTATACAAAACAGACATTTAACTTTCTTATCATTAGTGTTTGGATGAATATTTAGTGAGTCAAGTAGTAAGATTGTAACCTGTCTATATATATATATATATATATATATAACATTTCGCTCTCACCTATGGTAATTCCTAATTACAAACGATTAGGATATTCCCCTAACATGAAACTGAGCGTACATGAACATGATAGGCAGAACATATGGCGCACAACACTTCAGCAATACTCCTCAACTTAGCGGAACACAGAAAGATGTCACAGTCTTAGAAAATATTTGATAACTTTGAGAAGTCCACTCGTCGAAAACTTTAAATGTAACATAAATAAGAAAAATGTAACCTGAGAAAAAAGTTGACTTCCATGTTTACTTAATGTAATACGGTTAACTATCAATAGGGTTTTACCATAGTACGTGCAAACACTCATAAAAAATGAGTAGGTTACACGGAAAACAAGTATAATCAAGCTATTGTGAATTGATTGTATTCTCCCTTATTGATTGAAAACAGTCCTTTGATAAACAGAATCAGCAATATTTTCAGTAGAAACTACCATACAGTTCAATATCTGCATATCTATCATAATGAATATTTGTCTTCTTAATATGTAAGATAACATTTATTACTTTTTCAAACAAGCGATCAACCATTAAGTAAAACTGTACAGAACTATTGTTGAATTTGAAGTTAATTGATCTTCATTCTCGCGGTAAAGTTAAAAGTTGTAAAACAGTTTTCTAATCAACTTAACAGTATACGAAATCAACTGATTCTATAAACATGAGGATTTCCTCGGAAATTCTACTGCTGTTATGTTCATATCAACATCCATCATATTTAGTGGTATAAACATTATTATTCATATTGTAATAACCATAAGAGTTTTGGAATATCGTCACCTTTGAAACTCTTATCATAGCTTAGTTTACATGTTAGATAGTACTAATTAAAGTAACAAATGGTATTTCATCTTACCATGACTCAGTGTAAATTAGGTGTGCCCTATCACTGAAAATTATGAACTTCTAAAAATTAATAGTGATTCATAATTATTCATCTCTCTTCCACCTCTTATTATACTATATTGAAGCATTCCCTTTACTTTTATTGACCATAACTACGTTCAGGTTGATTCGACAGTATTACCGAACTTCCTTTACAAAGATACCTACAGATATTTCGGTCAGTAAACGAGATAGTTAACTGATATTACTAATCATTTGAAATGAATTGGACTAAAAAGTGTCGGTAGCATTTAAATAGTTAAAAAAAACTTCAAGTAGGCTCTCTAGCATATATTCTAGTTTTATATTTAATGAAAAACCAACTAGAATTTTTGTTTCACAATAATACGCAATAATTGATTAGAGTTCTAAATGTATAATTGAAATTCTGAAATATAGGAGATTGATTTACACACAGTTTATTCAAGAAATTTATGTACATTGTAAGTAAATGACCTATATTCTTAAAAATTTGAGAATAAACTAATTTACATAAAAACTTATCGACTTGTCTACTTTTCATTAAATGTCTTGTTGTGTTGCACAATTGGAAACTACAAAGCTTTCATTTCAACATGACTTTGCATACTTGTCATTGTCTAAGTGACGGAATTACAACTGGAGCAATTTAGGCTTCAAGTATGGTAAGAAGTGTGTAGATGCTGTTATAGGATTCATGTCAACCATGATAAAACCTGTTACTAATAATACAGATTCAACTAGATCATCCAATTAGACCGTATAGCTAGAAGTGAAGTATGCAATGAAAATAATCCTCATTTGCTAAGAGGTTTTTACACAAATTCCACCTGCCGTTTTTATATTTGCTGAATGTCTTAAAAGACCATTCAGTAAACTTAGATAAAATTGGAAACACATAGAGAACTTCCTGGTTTAGTCGGAAGAAATCAGCTGATTTCAGATTGCAAAGTATCTTGGAGTTCAACATATTCAGATTCAGATAGGTGTGCGTTCGAGACTTTCTATGATGGTTAAAGCACCACTGTTTAGATACGTATTCTGAATTAACCGAGTGTTTCCAACAGTAACCGAATAGTAAGGATGATATTATGCTTGGTACTAATTGTTGTAAGTCATCATTAGAAGGTACTAAAGAACGAAGTTTGGACGAGGACTTGTAGTGGAACGCTTCTACGAAGAAAATGCGATTTTTGAAATGTGAACATTATTGTATTCGTTGTGTTTAACTGTACCAAAAACACTTCTACTACTTCTTGCGCGCAACGTTTCTCTTCGCGTTGCCGCCATGTTTCTTCATTTGCTGCTCCCTATGTCATGCCAACGTTCTCCTTTAATAAACCACTGAACTATGGATTTATTTTGTTCTCATTTTCATCACGCAACCGTATGGAACATTTAGTAGTGGGCATAGTCAAGCTGGTTTCCGGACTCGCTCACTAAAATTGGTGAGACTGACGTTTGTTCAAAAGAAGTCAATTACGGTGAGTCTATTATTCATCTACCACTATTTTTATAATGTTGCAATACTATAAATAATGTCTTTAATATATTTTATACTTGCAACAACTTTTCGAAATGGTAGATAGCTATAATAATAGACTCCGAGGTGCAGGTCATGGCATTTTCACCTGTCTCCTCACCGTCACTTCAGGTTGTTAGTTTATTTTACGTGCTCAATTTTTGCACTAACGCTAGGTACTTGATGGCCACAAGTGCCCAAGTTTCTGTCGTATCGTTTGGTAGCAGTAAGTCATCAGCTACGATGCTTCGACCACGCACTGCGAATGGCTCTGTCATTCCTACCTACGGTACACGACAGCTAACTATCAACCTGAGTATCCGACGACAGTATCTATGGACGTTCATCCCTTCTGATGTTCCCATAGCCATACTCGGTATCGATCCATTACAGCACTATGAATTGCTATTCAATTCACGTAGGCTGCGTTACTCGATACTTCGTCGAATATCAAATCCATGGTTTTTAACGCGCAAACAGATATGTACCGAATCATTAATATGTATATTTTTACATTACTATTTATTTCATGTTATATTCGATAAATTCCCCAAAGTAACGAAACCGAGGAGATTTAACTGGTGATTATTTATGTGGTAAGCCACATCGTCACCTGCAGACCCCCAGTCACGGCAAAACCTCGCCGACGAGCACTGGACAACTTAGTTTTCGCTAAGCGTGAGTTTGACAGTTTACTTGCTATACGTATTACTTCGTCTTTCTCACAGT